CTGTAATAATGGTCACCTGTATAGAACGGCCACCTGTATAGAACAGAGGACTGTAATAATGGTCACCTGTATAGAACGGCCACCTGTATAGAACAGAGGACTGTAATAATGGTCACCTGTATAGAACGGCCACCTGTATAGAACAGAGGACTGTAATAATGGTCACCTGTATAGAACGGCCACCTGTATAGAATGGCACCCGTATATATAACGGCCACCTGTATATAAAGGCTACTCTTGCAGTTTCCACCGAGTGGCCACTGTATTCAGGTTTGACTGTACATGTTAACGTTAATAATTCCGGGATGGGTGGGGGATGTCCTCCAGCCCCCGTTGGATCCACCAGCAAATCTCACCCTCTTCAGGAACCCACAGACAAGCTGGCCGATGTATCGTTTCTCGTCCTCCAGGCTGAGCGCGTTCACGGAGTCGTGAAGAATGCACGCGAGAAACATAAGAGCATTCATGATCACCGGGTCCGTCGTCGGCTCCAACTGATACTTCATGAAGGTGTCGATGATGAGCTTGCATACCTGAAATGCAGAAGCATATGACCTCTTCACGTTCACAAAGGACATCGAAGGACATATATGGTACAATGGTGATGTGGTGGACTCACTGAGGTAACGCACCATAGATGGTGACAGCAAAATGCGATGGTGGCATATTGTATCATCAAAACATCAAATGCGCACTGCAGTATTTGAGTAAATGAGCTCAAAAATGTTTAAAATATAGGTATTCTAGAGGCAGACTTCTAATTGAATATAACATTTGGTATAATTCCATTTTGATAAAATTGACATTGGTTTACTAAGCACTCCATGACACTGACTTGTAAGAATTCAGATGATTAGTGAGAACTGGTTAAGTGCATAGTTTGCTAGGTAGTTTCCCTTGAAGCAATCTGATACGTATCATATTGTGAAAGGTTTATCATGATACAGATTGCATCGTCAGCTACCGGTATCATCCCACCCCTACTATGTACATGAGTTATGATGCTTCTGCTACTCCCTACCTCTACTTTCACTGACTCCTTCTGGAATAAATCGATGAACGGCAGAAACTTGCTCATGGAGAACACTGTTGAAAAGTTGTGCATGTACGAGAGGACCTTGTCCACGACAGCCTGAGGTAGCAAACACCACAGTTAATCACCATCTCCACTAAAAAGTGCGCATTTCAAAATCACTCGACGATGTCGGTTAATCACTAATGTTAACATGGGCGCAAGTATTGATGCTTGATCATGCCTCGTGGTTTAATTATCATGACGTATGAGCACACCCTCGCTCAACTACAAAAAATATTGCCACAAAATTTATTTCACGACAAGGCAACCATTAAATGAATTGCTGTAGAGAATAGAATAGCATTGTGAAGAGTAATTTGATGTAACCGAGCTCAGCGAAGCAAAGTCGTTTACCTTACAATTCACTGCACGTGCATTATATTCGCAAGCATGCAACTAAGGACAATAAAGATTGTTACACATGCATGCAGACAGCAAAAAATTTGAGTGCCGCGAGACGCTTTGTTAAGGGAGCCCCTTCTATGCGCGCTCACCTGCAACTGCGGGTAGTGCTGCTCGTACGCGCGATCGGGAGTCATGTGCTTGATGATGTCACCAAGAATCGTGTTGACCTCACGCTGACCATAGTGCCTGAGCGCGTACTCGATCCACACCTCTGCACACGACATGTACTCCAGCGGTGTGCTGAACTTGGAGATCGACTTCCAAACCTCATTCAGAATTTGCCTTTTCTGCGAACACCATGTATAGTTGAAAATGAGCATCTGTGCTGTTTTGTTAACACAGAAAAGTGCACGAGACATCAACAGATATAATATTATAATATATGTCTGCAATAAATAACGTGATTGAAAACATGTAAATAGGATTCTAGTACATATAGTATCAAGAGCAGATAAAGAAGGAGAGCGTACAAGGGTAAAATGCTGAAACCATGCTGCAGTATTAGTCGAATTAATAAACTTTTCCCGTTTTATTTTGACGATCCTTTGCAGTATTATTGATTAGCTGTCTTACCTTGTTCATATAAAACAAACCGCATGTCCCTACGATGCCCCTACGCTGAGATAATGAGCGGTGAAAATCTGGTATTTTCACCGAAAACCAACTCGAGATCACTGTTTACTGCGTCCGTCTCTCGAAGTGTTATTACTTCGGGAAACCTCGCGTGTTTTCGTCAATGATTGACAAATGGAATGAATGACGTCTGTTATTGATTGCCATAGTGATGACCCCCACCTGTACCCACCTCACGCCCACCTCACGCTGGATGTATAGTAAACTCTGGTAGTATTACGTGAGTCAGCGCCACTATGGCGCTACACAGCGGCGACCGGAAGCAACACACTGGAAACACTTCGAGAGGCGGACGCAGTAAACACTGATCTCGAGTCGGTTTTCGGTGAAAATACCAGATTGGTGAAAAAGGATCGTCAAAATAAAACGGGAAAAGTTTATTAATTCGACTAATACTACAGCATGGTTTCAGCATTTAACCCTTGTACGCTCTCCTTCTTTATCTGCTCTTGATAGTATATATATACAGATGTGAACCAATTGATAACGTATAAACAGATATAATATTATAATATATGTCTGCAATAAATAACGTGATTGAAAACATGTAAATAGGATTCTAGTACATATAGTATATATATCAGATGTGAACCAATTGATAACGTATAAACAGTATAGATAGATATATGAAACAGATTATTCACACAGAAGAAACGAGATACAACTCGAATGGTAACAAACAAAGACATTTATAATATACTGCCAGGTGTACATCGTGAACAGGCAAGAAGTCGATAGTCTGATTGCAGAAATCCGATGCGTAGGGGCCAATACATAGGCAGTCAAGGCAGGCACGACAAGCGATCTATATTATGTGGGCCAACACTAATTACAGCAGAATCACAGATACTCTGTATGAAGCCCTATTGATGACCTGTATTATGGTTATATATAAATAATCCCAGCTATTTCATGTTCAGACAAGCTATTGATTTATAAATGCCTAATTGAAACGCATGAGCTCATGAATTCGAAGCTGGTCTTACTCGTTTCTACGTTGAAACCGGATTTTAATACAAAAGTATTCTGTTTCAGAATACGATGATATGTATACGAAACAGGGGCCTAGCTAACTCATTTTTCCAGCACGCACAGTTTGTGTTCTGGGTAGTTGACCGTGTAATAGTACCTACATTTGTTTGCCTCTCCCTTGCACCCCCCCCCCCCAACTGCAAGGCATACCTTACAAATAAAACGGATGGTCAATGTTAGAAGAAACTAGACCTCGGCATGTCAAACCAAGCTATTATCCCATTAACATCTCTATCTCTCTACATTTACAAAAACCGCTCGGGCTAGCTTCGGCACTCATTGTGCCGCCACCGCGCACAAATCAGTAACATCCCAAATGCAGCACACCTAATCCTACAACTCAATCACTCGTTCCCTACACAATTCACCAAGCAAATAAATTGGAATGTCAGCGACCACCAGATCGACAACGCATTATTACTGGGCCGACGCGTGTTCGGCTGCGAGTCACAGGTGGTGCCACCTATAGGAACAAATAAAATACTTTTTCCTAATCATGAATAGTCAAGAACAGCATACTACGTGTATAACTGTATTCGCCTCGTGAAAAAGATCCAGTTGCTGCTCATATTTTAAACAAGCCGCGACAATCAGAGAGGAAAAAACCCGACGTTTTCCATTTTCGGTAAACAGTATGATATAATTTAGACTGCCACTCGCACGTTCGCGCGACACACACTCTGCATACTCAGGCGAGTTTCCTGAGCAGCTCGGCGGCGACCGGCGCACCTCTAGCCGCCCGAGCCTTCACGTGCTGCGCCGTGCGCTCCATGAGCATGCGATCAGCATGCCCCTGCTTCGCGGCTAGCGTCCATAGGTTGCCTAGCAACGCCGCGAAGCGCGGGTCACCGAGGTCGCCGTGCGTGACGCCGACCTCGACGAGGTGCAGCGCGAGCGCCCCCTGGCGGTCGGGTGATGGCGCCGCGTCGTGCACGTGCTGCATCAGCTCGTTGAGCACCGTGCCAGCGAGGCGCGCGACCTCGCCGACGTACTTGGGGTCGTTGCCGTAGAGACGGTCGTTGGCGACGACGCCGTCGGCGCAGTATGCGAACGCGGGCTGTGCGGCGGCGGAGAGCAGAGCAAGCGCGTGCGTGTACGCGTCGGCGCGTGCCGTGTCGCCCGCGCCGCGCGTCGCGAGCGCGTTGAGGAGGCCGCGTGCGAGGTAGAGCGGCGGCTGCGCGGGCGGGTCGGGCGCAGCGAGCAGCGTCGAGCACAGGTTGCCGACGTACTCAAGCAGAAGCGGCTCCGTCGAGCGCAACTTGCCGTCGATCTCGATCGAGCACGGCGCGTCTGGCAGCAGGCTGATCGCCGCCTTCAGGAAGGAATCGGCCTGCGGGACGGAGAACATATCATACTGTTATTATCGATATATTATTAGTATAATTAATATATATTTTAATTAGTAACATTATTACGTTATTACAATTGATGTGTTAATAATAAACCCGTTCATAAGTCATTGACATTGATTTCGGTCTGCGGGGCGAGAACATATTAATAGTACTATTAATTATTATTACAATCAGTGTATTAGTAGTAAAATCACTTGTCATAGTGTATATTATTATTTGTAGTTATCGTTGTCAGCCTACGGTGTGTAAATCTTGGGTTATAGCATGAAATTGACAATGTGGCTGTGTCGCTTCTTTAAAATTTACAGCAAGACAAGGCTTATGAGTAATTATAATTATTATAAAGCGCTAATAAATTTGCTCTTAAGTACGTTCATAATATAATAAAATATCTTTAAGATGTTTATTTACTCAACGATATATTTGTTAAGGTATATATAAATTATATCTAGTATTGTGAAGTATAAGTATCATAAATATATCATGGACCAGTAATTGTTCCTCTTGCAAATGTGGGTGAATTCACATCTAGCAAGCTTACAGTCTCAAACTAAACAACACGAAAACTAATCACCTGCATCATAAATGCACATGAGAAATAAAGGATGCCTTTCGGCATACGGTGACGCCAACATCTACAGTGCGCGACTTGCGCGCCGCTACGCACCTGTGAGAGGCAGTGGTTTAGGAGCGCCACCTGTCCCGACACGAGGTACAGGTTGAGTCGCAGAAAGACGTTGGTGATCGAGGGTATCGTGATGAAGCTGTAAGCTGCGCACGCGTGAACGAACGCCGCCGTTTTACGCGTGTGATGACCCTAGATGACAGGAAAACCCAATGGTAGAGTAAGTAACAGGACAAACTCCAGTGACTACTCGTTCACAGTGTCAAGATGTTATTTAATAAATGGAACCTCTTGCCTGGTGACTGTGTCCTTACAGGTATAAAACGAAAGGAGGGCATAGGCGAATGCTTGTTGGTAACAATGAATTAACGTGGTCGGTTGACTGTGATTTATGGCATGGTACAAGCCCGTACGCACAATGTCATATAAACGACATTTTCTCGAAAACTGTATTATGTTATAAAACCCGACCACCGCTCACGATCACATTGGCAGCAGGTGTCCGAGTGGGTACATTGCGTTACGAAAATCTTTTTCCCCGAAAAAACATTTTGTTCACGCGCAACACATGTGGTATTCTCTGCGACTTGTACAGCAAATGATCCACGTGCTTTTCCCCCACCGACCGACTCGTCCCGTCCCGACCCCACCGACCGACCGACCCGGCCGTCCTCGAAAATGCTCCATCAAGAGACTGCAAACGTGAAGCGATTGCGCGGCCGTGCGCCAGGGGGCGCCAGTGTACCTTGACGACGCGGCGTGTGTCGATGGCGAGCAGGTTGACGGTGTGCACGAGGTGGACCAGCACCGGCTCGAGGTTGCTGAACGCCGCACGCGCTTCCACGCAGAAGCTCAGCTGCCGCTCAAAGTCCGCGCCGACGCTCACCTGGCAGACGAAACAAGCGAACGTCACAATAGTACATCCACGCAGATGGTGAGAGGGGGGATTTGCGATGAAATTGCGACATTCTTGGTAATTAAACGCACCGCATCTGGCATAGATAAGGTTTAATGTGTAAGAAATTATTTCAGTTTAGTGCCAAATTGAACTTCTACCCACCTTCCTATCTACCTACCTACCTAACTACCTACCTACCTAATTACCTACCTATCTACCTATCTACCTAACTACCTACCTACCTATCTACCTACCTTTTTGGGCATTTTATTTCATCTAATAAACGGGAAAATATTGACAAGAAACATGAACATAAATAATAACAAGTGCCGCATAGCGACAGCGCTCATCTAACGTCTACTGCCATATATTATAATATTATATCTGTTTATACGTTATCAAATTGGTCACATCTGTATATATATACTATCAAGAGCAGATAAAGAAGGAGAGCGTACAAGGGTAAAATGCTGAAACCATGCTGTATATTAGTCGAATTAATAAAAAATTTTCCCGTTTTATTTTGACGATCCTTTTTCACCAAATCTGGTATTTTCACCGAAAACCGCACTCGAGATCAGTTGTTTACTGCGTCCGCCTCTCGAAGTGTTCCAGTTGTGTGCTCCGGTCGCCGCTGTTAGCGCCATATGGCGCTGACTTCACGTAATACTACAGAGTTTACTATACATCCAGCGTGACTGTGGGGTGAGGTGGTACAGGTGGGGTATCTCACTTATGGCAATCAATAACAGACGTCATTACATTCCATTGTCAATCATTGACGAAAACACGCGAGGTTTCCTGAAGTAATAACACCTTCGAGAGACGAACGCAGTAAACAGTGATCTCGAGTTTGTTTTCGCGTGAAAATACCAGATTTTCACCGCTCATTATCTCAGCGTAGGGCAATCGTAGGGACATGCGGTTTTTTTTTATATGAACAAGGTAGACAGCGACTAATCAATAATACTGCAAAGGATCGTCAAAATAAACGGGAAAAGTTTATTAATTCGACTTAATACTGCAGCATGGTTTCAGCATTTTACCCTTGCTACGCTCTCCTTCTTTATCTGCCTCTTGATACTATATGTACTAGAATCCTATTTACATGTTTTCATCACGTTATTTATTGCAGACATAATATTTATATTATAATCTGTTGATGTCTCGTGCACTTTTCTGTGTTAACAAAAACAGCACAGATGCTAATTTTCAACTATACATGGTGTTCGCAGAAAAGGCAAATTCTGAATGAGAGTTTGGGAAGTCGATCTCCAAGTTCAGCAGCACCGCTGGAGTACATGTCATGTGCAGAGGGGTGGATCGAGTACGCGCTTCAGACACTACGTCAGCGTAGAGGTCAACCGATTCTTGTGACATCATCAAGCACAATAGACTCGCCGACGGCGCCTGCGCGTACGCCAGCCACAGCCTACCCGCAGTTGCAGTGAGCGCGCATCAGAAGGGCGTTCCCTTAACCAATAGCGTCCGCGGCGGCACTCAAATGTTTGGCTGTCTGCATGCATGTGTAAATCTTTTGTCCTTAGTTGCATGCTTGCGAATTAATGCACGTGGCAGTGAATTGTGAGGTAAACGACTTTGCTTCGCGGCTGAGCTCGGTTTACATCAACCATTACTTCTTCACGAATGCTATTCTATCTCTAAGAACAGCAATTCATTTTAATGGTTGCCTTGTCTGAAATAAATTTTGGTGGCAATATTTTTTGTAGTTGAGCGAGGGTGTGCCTGCATACTCATGATAATTAAACCGAGAGCATGATCAAGCATCAATATTGCCGCCCATGTTAGGTCAATTATGATTAACGACATCGTCGAGTGATTTTGAAATGCGCACTTTTCAGTGGGATGATGGTGATTAACTGTGGTGTTTGCTACATCAGGCTGTTGCTGGACAAGGTCCTCTCGACATGCACAACTTTTAACAGTGTTTCTCCATGAGCCAATTCCTGCCGTTCATCGATTTATTCCAGAAGGAGGTCAGTGAAAGTAGAGGTAGGGAGTAGCAGAAGCATTCATAACTCATGTACATAGTAGGGTGGATGATACCGGTAGCTGACGATGCAATCTGTATCATGAATAAACCTTTCACAATTATGATACGTATCAGATTGCTTCAAGGAACTACCTAGCAAACTATGCACTTACCAGTTCTCACTAATCATCTGAATTCTTACAAGTCAGTGTCATGGAGTGCTTAGTAAACCAATGTCATATTTTCAGAATGAATTATACAAATGATATATTCAATTAGAAGTCTGCCTCTAGAATACCTATTTTTAAACATTTTTGAGCTACATTTACTCAAAATACTGCCAGTGCCGCCATTTGATGTTTTTGATGATACAATATGCACCATCGGCCATTTTGCTCGTCACCATCTATGGGTGCGTTACCTCAGTGAGTCCACCAACATCACCATTGATACCATATATGTCCTTCGGATGTCCTTTGTGAACGTGAGAGGTATATGCTTCTGCATTTCAGGTATGCAAGCCTTCCATCATCGACACCTTCAGAAAGTATCAGTTGGAAGCCGCACGACGACCGCCGTGACATGAATGCTCTTATGTTTCTTCGCGTGGCTTTGTGCACGACTCCGTGAACGGTGCGCCTGGAGCGACGAGAAACGATTACATCGGCCAGCTTGTCTTGGGTTCCTGAGAGAGGATGGAGATTGTGCTGGTGGATCCTATCGGGGCTGAGAGGACATCCCCACCCAGTCCCGTGAATTATTAACGTTAACATGCTACAGTCAAACCTGAAATACAGTGCCACCTCGGTGGAAAACTGCATGAGTAGAGCCTTTATATACAGGTGGCCGTTATATATACGGGTGCCATTCGATACAGTGGCGTTCTATACAAGGGGACCATTATTACAGTCTGCTGTTCTATACAGTGTGGTCGTTATATATGTGCCGCTGTGTGTGGCCTGTTCTGCTTACAGGTCGCCGTTATATACAGCGTGCGCCATATATACATGTGCGCCATTCTATTACAGTGTGGCCGTTCTATAGACAGGTGGCCGTTCATACAGGAGGCACTTGTTATACATGTGACTTTGGTATGCAGGTGCCCGTTCTATACAGGTGCGTTTACTATACAGTTTCTTCTCTATAGAACTGCAACGTGAGCCAAAATGCCGAAGTGGTCTTCGAGGACAGGTACCATCTATACAGGTGCAGGCTTCTTCCAGCTTTTAACACATGTTGG